TGTAAGACAGATATATTACGTATATAAAAAACTGAGTTTTAAAATATTTAACAAATGAAATTTGATTTATACGAGTGTAATTTGTTATAGGTGTTTACTTAAAAAAAAAAACAAACAACAGATTAAATATTATAATCTAAATTGAAATAATATCAATTATATTTTTGTTCTTGTTCTTTTTATTTGGATTTTAACTTTAGGAAATATTTATTATTTTGTTAATGATATATATATATATATTATAAAACGTGGATCAGCATATAAAACCATTTTAAATTCTTTACGTTGATATCCATTTTCCTATCCGACGTTAATTATTTTTCAATAATTAGATTTATTACTTAGTAGAAATATTAATAATCATTCATCGCAGTAACAAATATATTTGTCTGTGTGTGTAATGGTATATAGAATGAAATTAAATATTTAAATTTGAAAATCGATGTTAACGAATTATTATTTTTTTTTTTTTTCAATGTAACTAACAAATCTTTTAATAATTAGCAATTAATTCGGTGATCTCTTGAGTTAATCAATTTGATTTCATTTAAATCGATATCTTCTTCTTTTTTCTTTTATCAAAAATATTGTAGATACTATTTCAAATAATAATAATAATAATAAAAATGATACGAGATAATTATTTTACACAAAAATAAATATTAATCAATTAAATACCGAATTAATTGCTAAACCTAATATTTACATTTAGAATAGAGAATGAAATGAATAAATAAATAAATAAATAAATAAATAAACAAACAAACAAACAAAGTAGTATTTGGAGCATCGCAAATTGTAGTTAATAAAAGTATTTAATATAAGTAGTGTTGATTGAAACTAGTAGTATTTGTTAGATAATCAATATAAATCATATAACATTTTTAACATTACTTTTCGCCACATAAAAAGTAGAGGAAGTATGAAGTAGACAAGCTTTGTGTTTGTTCCTAGGAGGATTTTTCTACCCCTCGCCCCCCCCCCATTACATTTTTTTTTTTTATTATTTAACATGCCACGAGACTCTAGAATTTGTTGCATCGTAATGTAATACGATTACGAAATTTAAATGATTCAAAGAAACAACAAAATGATTGTTATGAAATAATGAAATTTATAAGATTGTTTAATAATTTTTTTATAACTCAGGAGTGGCCAAACTTTATTTTATTTAATCTATTAAAACAATAAATAATGGTTTATTAAATCAACACACCGGGTGATATATATTTTATTAATATTTATTAATTAATAATAGTTTTATTTTATTGGTGGCCACTTTTGTTATAATTGATGAAAAAAAAATAATTGAATATTACTAATCTTTCAATGATCTTAGATGGTGCACGCCAGTTGGTGGTATTATTTTTCTAAATTTACGGAATTTATGGACACGGTAAGCAAATTAAAAATCAACAACATAATCTTGATCACATCTCGTTAAATAAATAAATAATAATACAATGTTTTTATTTTACAGATCTTTTTTGTATTAAGAAAGAAGAACAACCATGTGTCAACGCTTCACGTTATTCATCATGGTTGTATGCCAATGTCCGTATGGTTTGGTGTTAAATTTACTCCTGGTATGTCAAAAGAAAAAATGTTTATGTGTGTGAAAGAAACAAAGAAAAAAAAAAAAAGAAAAAAATGTTTTTATATTTTATATTTATATATATATAAATCATTGTTTCAGGTGGTCATTCAACATTTTTTGGACTATTAAATACATTCGTACATATTATAATGTACACGTATTACCTGTTAGCCGCATTAGGCCCAAAAATTCAGCCATACCTATGGTGGAAAAAATATTTAACGGCATTCCAAATGATACAATTCATAGCAATAATGGTACACGCTTTCCAATTGCTTTTCATCGATTGCGATTATCCAAAAGCATTTGTATGGTGGATTGGTATGCACGCAGTAATGTTCTTCTTCCTTTTCAACGAGTTTTATCAACAAAATTATCAACAAAAGAAAGCAGCAATGGCGAGAAGCAATGGTATTGCCAATGGAAAAACAAATGGGGTTATCACGAATGGGAATACCGACATTAATGGAACGATAAGAAGGGATGCTGCTGATTATTATGTTAAGGGTGAAAGTTTAGCGGCTAGCGAATTTAATTTTAGAAAGGGTTACGTATTGAACGAGTGACCCATACAAGAATATCATCGTTCTTTTCGGCGTTGTTATTTCTTCTATTATTATTATTATTATTATTCTTCCATTTCTTCTTCTTCTTCCTCTTCTTCTACTTCTACTGTGTCACCAAATGCCTTTAGATATTATTCGCATCGAGAGCTCGTTAAAATGATGCATACTACTCTACCACCATCACCACCACCATTATCACAACAATCTCAAACGTGGGAATCGTACTATTATATTTTCCACACTTAACGTTACATACTTTTTGTTTATTTTTATTTTTATTATTATTTTTATGACCCTCCCTCCTCCCTTGTCGTACTATCTCTCTCTCTCTCTCAATCTTTCTTTATTCTCATATTATTATTCCTTATGAGATCTTCCTTTTAGGATAAAATTCTCTATTAAAAAAACTAAAACTTAATTTTGATTAAGTTAACAACAAAACAAGCTTCCATGTATTTCCTGTTCTTCTTCTTCTTCTTTTTCTATTCTTTATTTAATTTCAAAGATATATATCAAAGTATATCTTTAAACTCTTTGCGATACAGGATTATAATAATAAAATAAATCTATGTTGTATATAACACACATTTTATTTGCGTTTTAAATGAAAACAAATATTCGTATATTTTTTAATAATAAAAGTATCGTGCAATGTAAAAACATAAGAGGAGAAAAGAAAAACAAAAAAAGAAATAGTAATAGATTAAATTTGTTGTTATAGGAATGGGTACAATCAAATAATTCCCATCATGCGCCTATGCACATGCAGCTATTGCAATATTTCATACATATGTAATTGTATACAGCATGGATGTAATATTTCTACCATGCATTTACGGTGCATCCCCAAAATATGGGACAATTTTAATCTCGGCACATGCCCCCATAAAGAGTTCATTGAAAAAAAGATTTATAAAAACAATAAATCTTTTTTTTCTACTTCTTCTTCTTTTTATGCTGCTGGGCTATCGTGTGTACCGTTAATTATTATACTTACATCGTGCGTAAAAAAAAAACAAAAAGAAAAGAAAAGAAAAGGGAAAAAAAAAGTCAAAAAAAAAAAAGTAAGAAAGAAAGAGAAGCCGCTAATAAAAATAATAAAAAAAAAAAAAAAAAAAAGCAAATAAAATTGATGATCAATAAAAGACGATTTTGTTCTCGTGATAATCGCCTAATCGTGTTGCGATAATAATAATAATAATAATAATAATAATAATATCTCTATTCTTCCTCTCTTTCAATGAAAAAAAAGAATTATGATAATAATTAATTGGATATATATTATTTATAAAAAAAAAACAAAGATAGTGACGTTTCCGTATCTCTTGGGAATATTTTAACCGCAAAGATCTGTCGTTATTTAAAGGAATCGTGACGAATTGGAAAAAGAAAATGATTTCTTCGTCTTAAGAAGAGAAGAGATAATCGTTTAACTTTCTCATATTAAATGTCATATTATTTTTAATCTCCGTGTTTCTTCCTCGTTGCATTCCGCACAATATAAATGATGATTTTTATATATATATGATTTACATTTAAAATATTTAATTATACGACTTGTTTCCACGAATTTTAATAAATTCGAAAGAATAAAATAATTCTCGTTCGTTTAAAAATAGTATATATATATATATATATATACATAAAGAGAGTGAGAGTGAGAGAGAGAGATAGACGAGCTCATGATGTGTTTAAATATTGTATATAATAAATAAACGGGCAATAATGTTATAACGATAATGAGAAGAAAAAAAAGAAAGAAAGAAAAAAAAAAAATATTGTAAATCGTAAATTGTAGCAGTGTGGTAAAAGAATGCGTGCCTGCCTACCTACCTGTCTGCTACCTACCTGCCTACCTATCTACCTACCTACCTGCCTGCCTGCCTAAGTGTGTGTGAATGTTCGTGACGTCGCGCAAAGCGAAGGAAACCGTGGTCTCGATAACTTTTATCCTTTCTTTAATTTTTTTTTTTTATTATTCCTTTTCATTTATAATATAATATAGATATTTCAAGGACGAATCTTGGGCAACCCTATTAACTTCCTGGGTTCATTTTTTCGTCGTCCATCAAAATCCATTCGACATTATTTCATTTCATTTTAATTTCGCCTGACATTTTATTTTTTTTTTATTGCGACCACTAATTTCGCTCGCTTTGGATGTCTCTATCGTACCAGCAGCAGCCGTGTGTATATAGATAGATTAGTTTTGTATTATCTAGAAAGAGATCGAGATATATTATACGGTATACCAATACGCCATTAATAAGAACGATTATGTGTATGAAAATTAGTAAGGTGTGGAGGAGGTGGCTGTCGGAGGGAAAGGGGTGATGGTTAAAAATGATTACGCAGTTGGTTTGTTTTATTTTATTTTTTTTTTTCTTTTTTTTTTTTTTCCTTCCTCGAGAATACAAAAGAATCTCTGAAAATTGTCAATAAAAAATTGCACACACAATAATTGTATAATTGTAATTAAATGTGCGGTGCGTGCATAAAATATTTGTGGTAGTAACATTTGTGTCGAGATCAAAGATATATTGTTTTATATATATATATTTGCGGCTATGTACATAAACGATCCTTCGATATAATACGTCCTCTAAAATAATATCTTTTTTTTAAAAAAGATAGCTTTATATATATATATTAATTTCTTTTTTTTTCTCTTTGTCTCTAAAATGATAATTTAATCGTATCCCCCCATTTCGTTACGAGATCTCTTCTTGTAAGAGATGGGGAAATTTTTAATTAGAACAAAAGAAAGAAAGAGAAAAAAAAGGGAAAAAAGACGAAGCTAAATCTAATTAATTATTCTTCTTCTTCTTTTTTTTTGTTTAAAACGGCAGGGAGCTTGAAGTTAGGTTGTTGCAAGTATTCCTCCGTATTCGTGAAAGCCGATTTTATTATAATATATATATATATCACACACCGTGTATACTGCCTAGTTTGTATTTGAATCATCCGGTCGAATGGGGGTGGGTTAATAACGTTAGGAGAGAATTGTACAATATTATATTCTTATATAGGGGGTATATTTTATAGTCAAAGTTTATGGATTTTGCGATGGGTCCATTCGCGACACGTGATGTATTTTTGTTAATAATAAAAATGCTACGTATTACTGGATATATAAATATTATTTTTTTTTTTGTAAATAAGTCGCTTTAAAGCATAATTTTTTGAAAAAAAAATACATTCTGGTTTTGGGGGTGGTTTGTATCGACCGCGTTAATTCAAATGCATCGAACTTCGAACCTCAATATGCAGATGGCGCTGCGGAACGGTAAAGGTATTACTTCATTTATTTTGTTTTTTATTTTATTTTTTTCTTTAATCTACAAATCATTCGATCAAAAACATAATGTGTAATCTAATCTCGATTCGCATAATAAATGCCAAAATAATCATTTCAAGTATAGAAAGAGAAAAAAATATATATATATATATATGTTCTCTTTCGAAATATTTAGAAGATAAATAATATTCGTGACATACTTTAGCAAACCTATTTTCTGAAATATTGATTATTCGTTTGATAATTCGATTGATATCGATGCAGGAAAAGGGATTAATTTAGAAAAAAAAATATCTAACTTCGATATAAGTCAATTTAATAAATTTGACGTAGAGTATCGATTTGCACGATATAAAGTATCGTATAATATATTTGCAAAAGTATACAAAATTAAAGAGAGAGAGAGAGAGAGAGAGATTAATTAGTCATTCGAAAAGAATTATCGACAAGTTTTAAATTCATTTAAATATCTGAAACCACAGCAACACGTGTGAGTCATTCCCATGAACGCGCATCTGTCGTCACTTTTCCTTTCTTTCCCGCCCACGGAAACGATATGTTCATAATAAGATCTAACAATATTTTAAATTATTTTTATTCATTCGTTTCTTTTAATAATATAAAAAGACAAAAATAGAAAATCATTTTTAAAACGACGTAACATACATATATCGTAACAACCTTATTTCTTTATAAAAATATTCGATTATTATTTATGCGTGTATTACTATTCGATACAATTTGAGAACCACTGTTTATCCGGTGTTCTATTAAACGCACGTCAATGATTGTAAAACAGTTTATCAAAATGTGACAACGAACTTTACAACGAATCCTCTATCCGGAAGAAGAATAACAACATTTCGTTTGATATTAATAATCATAAATATTTAAAAAAAAAAAAAATGTTGTTTCATTTTTAGATAAAAGATGTTTGTTTTTATCTCGGAATTCGTATTGGATAAATGAGAAGAAGATAGAACAGTGGCGCCCAAATTAAATGGTGGCGGTAATTGTAAATAATATCATTGACTAGCGTTGTACTCACTTGGTGCTTGCACTGACGTCGACTACTACTCTTGTTCACCACCGCGGATGACTATATGTCAAAGATTGCAAGTGTTGTCATAGTTCTCATCGTCATCTTCATAGTTGATCGTCTAGTTTTAACGTTAACGTCGTATTAATAATCATCGTTGCAATTTTGCGACCGTTTTTACATTATTATTATTATTACCATAATCGTGGTTATATAGTTGTCGTTGTGTTGATTATTCTTCTATCGTCATTTCGGGTGAAATACTACGGTAAAACGAGAAACAGAAAAAGAAATCTTTTTTTTGTATACTGACAATACAACAGCGGGATCAACGTCCCCCGTTATTATTCAGGATGTTGGCGCTAATCAATAGGATCTTAGATTGGTTCAAGTCACTCTTTTGGAAGGAGGAAATGGAACTTACCCTCGTTGGACTTCAATATAGCGGAAAAACTACGTTCGTTAATGTTATAGCGGTATGGAACAACCCCTTTTTGTTTGACACTGTTAAAACCCCATGATTATGCATCTCGTTTTGAACATCCTGCCACACTGCAGATTAACACAATCAAATCGAGGAATGCAGTATATGAAAACTCATTTATCCTTTTTTTAAACAGCATGATATTTATACTTAAATAATTGCAACACACGCGTGCACCATAGTTTGGTTATAGTTTTTATTTCCTAGATGACTTTAACGTTTCAATAATAAATTGTTAAAAAGGTGCGTTTTTAAAATTAGGATAAATATATATACATATATATATATTTTTGTCTATCTGTGTTTTAAACTATCTTTTGCTTTTTCAATTTTTTGCTTACATTCAATTATATTCTAGATAAAAGATCTTTAAATCAATTGCAAATCGATGTTTAATCCTGGTACATCGTTTTGGAAGAAATGCATAGGTGCATTTAACAAGGAACGATAATACTTTGAAATATAGTCCATCTTTTTTGCAGTTTATTAACTTTTATAGAAAAATACAATGGGCATAGAGTTATAGAAATGTTTTTCTTGTGTTTGCAGTCAGGACAATTTAGCGAAGACATGATACCAACGGTTGGTTTTAATATGCGTAAAATAACTAAGGGTAATGTTACCATCAAAGTTTGGGACATCGGCGGTCAACCAAGGTTTAGATCCATGTGGGAAAGATATTGCAGAGGTGTCAATGCTATAGTGTACATGGTCGATGCAGCTGATTCAGAAAAAATTGAAGCCAGTCGTAACGAATTACATAATTTACTGGACAAGCCTCAACTATCCGGTATACCAGTTCTAGTACTTGGAAATAAAAGGGACCTTCCTCACGCATTGGATGAAAATGGGCTTATAGAAAGAATGTAAGAAATTTCTCTAGAGACAAAACAATGATTAATATGTCAAATTATAAATTTTATATACAAAATTAACTTTACATATTAAAACTCCTCTCTGATTTAGGAATTTGTCAGCAATTCAAGATCGTGAGATTTGTTGCTATAGCATTTCTTGCAAAGAAAAGGACAATATTGATATTACGTTACAATGGCTCATAGCACATTCCCGAAGCGGAATACGCTAATACGTATGGAAATATGCTATGTATTCGTGTTGGAATACCCAAGATATCGGTAAAAGTATTGGGATCAATCGCACGAGGGGTGTTAAATGGATTTTGTTCAGGATTCAGAATCGAGTCATAATCGTAGAAAATTTCACAACCTAAGCTTTAGCAATTTTAAGTTTAAATACGAAGAGTTTGTGGTGAATTAAAGGGAGGAAGAATGAAAAAGAGAAAAAAAAGTAAAAAAATAGGAAAAAAAAAAGATATAAAAAACAATGCTTATGCCAAGTATGTTCTTGTGGATTATAACACGAAAGGCTCTTATTATTTGGGAGCTAGTTTAGCGTTAAGAAACAATTTTTTATATTTTCGTTTTTAGATACTCGATTCAAGCATCAGTGCTATTATTTGAACTTGTAATATTGGAGCATAATAGTATTTAATAATTATAATAGATCACTGGTAGCTAATACAAATACAGGCTCAAAGGTATTAATATTAATTATTATATAATATGCAATCTCTTTAAAATTACTTGATAATGATTAAAACAACACGATGTAGAGATTTCAAACAATTGATTGCTAAATGTACATGATGCGATGCTAAGTAAACTTGTATAATTAATGAAGAATAATGGACTATACAATATCAATTTATTATGCTCTATAAAATATGATTGTGTGTTATGTATATGTATATACGTATATGCCTATATACATATAAATAAAACCCTATAATCCATTTTTTAAATGGATGCTCGCCTATGTACCGAATCCTGATCTCACTCTGTGTGTGTGTGGATGGCGTATATTATTTTATTATATTTTAATCATCTTGTACTTTTAATTACATATGTTTACTTCATTTGCGTTTACTTGATTTTCTTCATCGGTTTACGCTTATTACATTATGAGCTTATAAGTTATAGTATTTTATAATTATTTTATAATTAAATGGTATCGTAACAAACTGCATACTGCATAATGCAGTTTACCGATTAGATTCATCGTAAACGCGCATGCGCAGGAAATTAGTTTCATTGTAGATGTATAGATGGAGTGGCAGTTCTCTTTCTCTCTCTCTCTCTGTCTCTGTCTGTTCTTTACTTGCAGTGAATATATGCAATTGTTATTTTCTGTGCTTCGTATAATTAATTAAGTGTTAATTAAGTGTTGAATAATTAATATTAAATCATGTCTACGACAAACGAAGATGATCCTTATGCATATGCTGCAAAAGGACCTCTCAAATTAAAAATCGATCAGAGTGTGAGCAAAAAGTAAGTGTATGCATAGATTAGTTTGTAATTTAAGGTTAAATTTATTTATTTTTAATTGCTAACAGTGCTTAAAAATAGTTATTAATAACCCTTATATTCTAAAAAATGATTCTCAATAATTTGGACACTTTTCTATTTTGGTTATGTTTATTATGTTTCTCTCATTATCAGTGACAGGAACACATAGACATTTCGATTATTTATAATTATTTTGCATATAACCTATATTTAATTTAATTTGTTTATTAGGAAAAAGAAAAAAGATAGCCAAAATAAAAAACTAGCAGAGATAGCAAGTAAAATCGAAGAGGAGAAACCACAGAATGTTGAAATAAAACGTACGAAGGCAGAAATAGCTTTCCAAAAGATGCAAGAAAAAATGGTAATATCTTTCTTTCGTTACAATCGAACACATTACAATAGATAATAAAAGCGAGTTTAATTCAGTTTTAGTTTAACAGATTTCACTATCGATGATATCTTTTGCATATTCTTACGATTAACAAACAAGGTTTTTAGTTTGCGAGCTCAGTCAAGTGTACGCATACTTGTCAGAATTTCAAACTTATTTTTATCGAAAACAAAGCATTACATGAACGACTTGTATTCTACATTTTAGACTAAGTTTTTATATAGAATTATTTCCTGCTCACTTGCACCATTAATTATAGAATAACATGTATATATAAAAAGTAATATGCTTTACGTACACATTACATATAATTCATGATATTTATTTCAGCAAAATGAGAGAATAAAACAGAAAGCTTCTATGACCCACAAGCAACGCGTTGAAGAATTTAATAGACATTTAGATAGTTTGACAGAACACTTCGATATACCGAAAGTCAGTTGGACCAAGTAAGGGCATCGTTTGTTTAAGAGTATAAACATTTTTATTTATTTAGATTATAAATAACAATCTGTGTGATAGTTTAAAGAATAAGAGAGACATGGTATAAGCTCATTAATAATTCTTATATTTTTAATAAACAAATTATAGTTTCATATATATCTAGAATAGATCTATACTTATATTTTATAGATTGATAAAATTGATATCATTTTTTTGTATGACATAAAGTTTCAAAAGGAAACTTTGTGAAATACTTTAGTTTCAACGAATATAAAATAACATTGCTATACGATAAATGTTATATGTACATTAATACATAACTTGGACGGAATATTTTAATTTGTGGACGGCATATTTATTATTTAGTAAAAATATCTATACTAACTTTAATCCTTATTATATCATCTCGATTATAAAAGTAATCAATTCCTTAATTATTATCAAATAAAAATGATTATCAATAGATCATAGTCTGAATCATTGGCATTGTTTTACCAAAATAGAATCTCAATTAAAATAGATATGTTTTTTTTTAGATATATATATATATACGCTATACGACATATCGTATATGTATAAAATTAAACCGAAAAAGAAAGATTAAAAGTCCAATAAGCAACGTGTGAGATGTTACAATTACGTTACCGTTATTATAATGAAAAATTGTAATAAAGTTTTCAGTTTTCATCCATGGATTACTGCCATCATCGAAATGCATTGGACATTGGTCGCGTTCACGTTCGTATTCCTGTAATAAAAATAGTTTGCATTATGGCTGAAAAAGCAACAACAACAAAAAATAATATTCACGTACTTGCAACTCGAGTGCAACTGCTGCACCTTCCGTATAATTGCTACTCGTGACATCTTGTTTAAGATCACAAAATGGTCCGATTGCTTGAGACATTAATACTCTATTTAAATCTGCTCTTTGATATACCCAACAACGGTACTTGCTGAAAGGATCCAATTCGTCATATGTAATAAGATAAGATTTTAAATTTTCTTTCCAATAACCAATGCATTTCATTTTATAATCGGGTTCGCCTGTATAAAAAGAAAGAAATTTAATTGAAAGAATGAATGTGAATTAATAAACGTTAATTAAAATCCTTACTTACTATAAATATCAACCGGTTTTCCTAAATAATCTACGGACAAACAATAATTCTCATCTATGGCTACTTCCTTTTGATCTGTATCGCAAACAGAAAAATCCGAAATATTTTGTTTGCAATAAATATTTGGACGTGGTGATAGAGTTACACCACCTAAAATACGTGTTTCGAAAAGAACATCTCCTTTCTGTTTAAACATGTATTTTCCAGCAACAGGACAACGTACAGGTACAGGATTTTCCGCTTAAAATGAAACGATAAAGATTAATATAAAATACACTTTTTTCTTCTTTTTATTTTGTATACGTACCTAGGAATAAATCGTATTTCCAATTTTTCGTATTTTGAAATTGAACCCAAGAACAGACTGTATGAAAATCATCTTTAATTACTGCAACACCACGACGATATCTAATAATATTGTGATGCCGAGGAACAACATCAAAACAAACGTAATCCTTTTGACTAGAATAAAAAATGATTGTAAACGGATGATTTAATTACAATAAAAAACAACGATATACAGTAATTCTTCCATTTATACAGGTATTTGATTTTACAAAAGCAATGTGTTCATGAAAGAATTACTGTATATATACATATATTTCAATATAAATTATATAAAACGTACCAGCCATCAACTGTTAATCTTGCCATCATTATCCTACTGTCTCTTAATTCACGACAGACGTAAATTGTACGCCTATAACGGCCCTCATCAGGATACCATGTTTCAATGATATGCGTTTCATTAATAAAAACATCTGCATCGATGTTAGCTGTATTTATCCAATTACCATGCATATCTTGTGGTAAACGACAACCAGGTTCAACAACTTCAGCTTTAACAGGTGTAACTCTTAATCTTTCAGGACTCTTTTCAACAGTTTTCAAAGTATTACATTCTGCTGTGATAGATACACCAATATATAAATCGTCATCGCGATTTTTTAAGAAACATCTATACTTTTCATCCTTTCTAGATTCTTTAGTATTTGCTACAGCAAAAAAGTGATTTTTGTCGACAAACCAATCACCCAAACAACTGTATTCTACCACTAAAATAAATAATTCAATGTAATGAAATTATACTTTATATAATCGATAAAAATATTAGATAATATGTATTAACCTCCATCAAAGGTTTCTTTCATGCCTGGACACTGTTTGTAAGTTATATTAAATTTTTGATTAGTTATAAGAAACTGTGTGCCAGCAGTTTGACAAGAGCGTATTTGTGCATCCGGATGATTGCATTCTCCTGTAAATCTGAATCGATTCTACAAGAAAACAAAACGATTAGTTAGTATCTACAAGATTATTTATATTTTCTAATGAAATAAATATCCAAGCATTAATAGAAAAGTTGTTATGGGAAAAGTGAAGAGACTTGCCTGATAAGCGAATTGCCATACACCTTCGAGGGATGATCTACAATTAACGGGAACATAATTTTCCGAAAATAATGTTATTAATTGTTGATCTGGACGTAATCCTTTACAGACATTTTCTATCGTAGGTTCAACATTGGGTGCTAGATTTACGCAGCTTGCTAAAATATACAAAATTAATGTAACAACAATATCTCTTAGATATTAACAATGCATTTACCTTCTAGTTTCTCTAATATGTTAACAGTTCTAACAATGAGTTTCACGCAATGATAACAATCACTTTTTCGAAAAACAAACGTATAATTAACATGTAATTCTTCCATCATTTCTATACAAGATCCACGATTTGACATTGTTTCAGCATTAATCTCTGTCAAAGTATTCATCCCATTTTCCCAAGAAAACCAAGAACCTCTAATTATCAATGGTATTTGACATGATCCAGACACTATAAAATTAAAAAAATGATTTACACATTTATAAATATAAAGAATAATTATATATATATTACGGTTATTAATATTAACAGTTAACATAATTTAATGACATTAATTAAAGAAACAATTTACCTTGATAAATGAAACATATTGTTAAAATTAAATGGATAATCCGTACGTTATACATCATTTTATTATTGCAATTGATAAATACAAAATAATAACTACGTATAACAATATTACTTTAAAATTGAATCATTTGGTAATATTAATGAGTAGTAATGTATGAAAATAAAAAAACATGATGCCCCACCCTAATCTGACATTGTCAGGATATTCCTGTCACCTATGATTTATTTAGAGAATTAATTATGACATTTTTCAATGTATTGTAATATACGTATCCATGTATCGGTAAAACAGTCTAACGCGCGTATTGTATTTAAATTTAAAAATGTATAAATATATGCAGATTACATTAAATTTTCTCACAGAAAAGATTTGAAAATAGGAATAAATACATAGAACAAAGTTCATCAATATCACGCTATTATTATATATCATTGCTAGTTTTATTGTTAGTTTTTTTTTTTAAATCGAAGTTCGTAAATTAATTAATCGTATATATATGACAATTTATATAAAATTAATAATAAAAAATACAAACGATAAATTTATACAGGATTATTGTTGCGTTAAAATTAATAATTAACAAAAAAAAAATATAATTATATGATATTTAATAAAAGTTAGATATTTTATATATTTGTTCAGAAAACAAAAGACAAAACAAAAATGTTCCAAAAAAAAACATTTGAAATATTTAATATTGAGAATAATTTATTGAATAGAAAAAATGCAACCCTGACGCAATGGTTAAAGTCTATTGTATTTTTCTTTTACAAATTATGAATACAAGATAAATTAAGGAAATGACTTGTACATTGTATCGACTTATGAACAATATGTGCTTAACACGTTAAAAGAAAGGAATTTGCTCGCAAGAGTTCATTAGTGATCTAGCTAAGCAAAGTGATATATCGTTTCAAATTGTTTTTCTTTTTCAATCGATTGTGTGAAACACTACTCCATATAAAAAAGATTTTCGTGATAAATATATATTAGACAAAAGGTAAATCTTTTATATTTTTTCTTTTTATTTATTAATATTATATTTAACATGTAGGATTTTAAATTAAAGTAATAGAATATATATATATATATATACACACAGATACATGTAACATATAAATTGGTAAACTTTCCTTTTCTTCATGCAGTTGCTTGGAGACTATCGTCGCGAGTTCCCAATTCACGAAAGATATCATTTCCATCATCTTCTTTTTCATCTTCATCTTCATCTTCATCTTCTTCTTTTTCTTTGTTAATTCTTTCAAACGTTGTTTTCATTTTAAACATCTTTTTTGTTATACTGTGTCGTGTCACACGAAAAATTTATTATTTTTTCATATATATATATATATATATATCAAATTATTGTTGAATTTTTATAAAAACGAGATAAAAAGTAAAGAAGATAAGATACAAAAAAAAAGAAAAAAAAAAGGGGGAAGAAAAAGGATATATAAGTGATTTATACGAATATTATTCTACGAACATCTCGGAGATCAAAGGTAGTGTTGTTAGTTTTAATAAATTATTTCTTTTTTTTTTTTATATATATATATATATGTATGTGATAAAAAGAAATAGTATTAATTATATATAAAAAATAAAGTAACCTCGTAAAGAACGAGGATGGTTTCGGTTACTTTCACTCCTTCTTTGATCTTTTACTGTATTTCAAGATTAACGAAAAGAATTTTTTTCTATTTTTTAAATAATACAACTTAGTGTGATTAAATATATATAAGAACTTTCTTTGTGTGGTTTTCAGATAATAATATATATATATTATAATAAGTGTGTTTTATCTTTCGAATGAGAAAGAGAGAGAGAGAGGGAGAGAGAGATCACGTAGAAACCATTTTTTTT